CTGGGGAATTCTGGGAGTTGAAGTCCATATGCTCTTAAAGTTGCCGAGGTTGAGAAACCCTGGCCTATATGTGCCCTTTATTCCTGCAGTCTCCAATGTTGAAGTTGAATAACTCTGCCAGTCCAGAATAGTATACATGGAATAAGAAGGAAGGCACCATATTGTCCTTTGTTTCAGTGAGCAAAACATTCTAGCCTAGTCCTACCTTCATAGTAGAATACTATTATAGTATTCTTACAATGCTTCAAAACAGGAGTTTCCTGGAACTATGCTGAAAGTGTTTTGTTTCTTTAATAGATATTTAGTGGCACAAAGATAGATCAAAGAGCACCAGAAGCTGGCAGTTGACAAATAGAAGTTGTCAACTTCAGGAGTTCACCAAATGTGTTTGAATCAATGTAATTGCGAAGGCTTTGTCTGGAAACAGTCAAAGTTTCAGGTAAGCAGTGAGTATAACTCTGCTGTCATTATATGAAACTCATTTGTCAGTTGGCTAAAACACAAAGACGAAAAGGGAAAACCCATTCATGAGGTTAGCTATTAACCAAGGAACTTGATAACAGTTCCTTAGGGGAGAAAAGGCCTGGTTTCTGTCCACTCCTTTTACAGATACGCATATATGCTATGCAACTTATAATACAAATCTGTTTCCAAGTAAAACAAAGGAAACCAGCTAACAAGCCAATATATTTTTTAATTGAAAAGTTTTCCTGGTCATTATGCTCTAAAGTTTAAATGCCAGGTTTAGTGGAGCTCTTATAGCCATATAAAAATGATTATTTCAGTGATAAGACGTTTTCTTTTAAAGTGGACTCTAATTTTTCTCTAGCAATCTATTATTACCATGATAATTTCAAATGCATTATGTATTCTTTGAAAAGCAGATTGAATGTGTGTGTAAGCCTGTACATACGTGGCTGTGTAATCCTCAAAAGCAACTCAGTAAGAACTGTTATGGATTTTCAGATTGTATTATATTCCTTTAAAAATGAATTGAATATGTGTTCATGGAAACATCCGTTCAATCAACATCATGCACTTGGTGTTCAAATAAAATCTGCAAGCCAACAGTATGATGTGGGCCTGTGTAAACTGAATTGTGCATGCCTGTGCCATGCACAAGCTTATTCCATTCAAATGCGTCAGAGATTATGCAAATACAGGAATGCATGCCACATCTCCAACTTCTCACCACACACTGAAGAAGTGGACAAAGTTTTGTTCATTCTAGCTCTTACCTAATTTAAGATAGCCCTACCAGATCTAGGCTGCAAAAACCCAGTTGGCCTTGAGATGGCCACAAAGAGCTAATATGTTCTTATATCTGTTTGCTGCCATGTCTAGTAGTCATCTGTATTTTTGCAGCCTAAATCTGACCGACCTAAGCTTTTTATTTCTTCATGAACAGTACTTATTTCAAACAAATTGCACAGGGCATCTGCATTCCAAAAGAAAAAAATCTCACACCTATCAGTTCATCAGAGTTTGTTGAGAGAAGGAAATGCTTTTTCCAGATCCTGTAATCTGGGAAAGATAAGAAAGAGTCACTAGGTGGGGTGATCCTGATGCAGAATCACCACCAGGTTCTGATGCAGTTCTCTACCGCCATTAACTCTGGAGAAGCAGCACATCTCAGGGAGGGGGACGAGAAGTCAGGGAGGAGATTCCTCACCTCGCCTGGCAGCAACCAGTTCAGACAATACTGACATATGGACAAGATTATCACAGATGCAACCCCTTAGTCTGAAGCAGTTTTAAATATTTGCAACACCTGCATTAAAGGGCTTTTGCTATCTGTCATACATCGAACACAGAACAAATTAACCTCCCACCCCAAAACAATTTTTTAATTTTAATGCATTCCAGTTTTATTTACATTTTCTAAATTGTGCTTTATTTTATAAGAGTCTTTTTCTATGGGTATCAAGTCTAGATTGTGTAAAAGATATTGCTCATGTTGCTTAATCACTTGTTTCCTTGAGAAGAACCATAATGCAGTCAGCTAAGAGGAGGCCGAATTTGCTCTGTCTTTCATTGCACATAACTGGTGTGGCTTTTAATGAGGACTTTATTAGGATCCAGAATGATTTTACCTTGAAGTTCTTTGGGAGACATGGATCACACAGGCCTCTCATTTTGTCCTGGGTTGGGAGATGATAGGAGTTGTCTGGGTCTACAGGGACTCAGTGGGTTCAGACAAAAGCAATGTCGAGATGCAGGCCCCACCCTTTTTCCTGCATGGGTTGCAATATCACATGAATGCCCCAAAGGGCTGGAGCTTGCAGCACGATGCCACAACATTGTTTCCATTCTGTTGGCCCTCCCTGGTAATGGTAATTGTGCATCAACATCTGGAGTGTACCAGGCTGGACTAACTGATTTATGGAAGCTTACAAGGCCTTAATATAAACATTAATGAAGGGTCTCACTTTGGTCTAAGGACAATACCTTAGTTCTATAATCAAAATACAACTTCAGATACTGATCTTTTTTAGTAGCATCAATTCACCTATTCAGCTACAAATTACTGATTATTTATCAGTTATCTATCAAATGTGTCCCTCCAGAAGTGGTCTTCAAATGTTGCTAAACTGCCACAAAACCCATTATTCCTCATCACCGGCCATGTTGGCTGGAATTAATGGAGTTAAAAACAGCTGGAGAACCGTATGTTGCCTATTCTTAATATATCCCTTGATTAATCAAAAGATTTGCATTGTTTTGACAAATGGCTCTTAACATACTCACAGAGATGATGATTTGGAAGTCTTAGGTGTCATGGCCCCACTTTCTACCATTTCAATGACTTGTTTGATTTCCAGTTTCTTGTACAAAGAAACAAGACTGGATTTAGGCTGATGTTTGTGCAGTAGGATCTTCTTTAGGTAAGTATTGTCAAACTTCTTAAATCTAGTAAGAACAATAATTAAAATGTCAAGCATTGTTCCTATATTAATTACTTTACAAATCCAAAAAATCCTTAGGTTTTTCAAAAACTGAAAAGCAGCAACATAAAGGGTGTGGTCTGCTACAGCATATCTTGTGTTAAACTGATAAGAAAAGGGTAACCTACTGTTATGGGAGAAAGAGGCTGAAAGAGCTGAGCACACTTTTGACTGTAAGGGAAAGGTAAAACCCAGAATTCTTTTACACAAGTTAAGTATGCTGATAGGTCATAACAGTCATTGTCATTCAATAATATGACAATAAACTTCTACTTATTGATCAATACATGAAAATCAAGGAAAAAGAAATAAAAAAGAAATATGGTTTAATAATTTAAATAGAAGATTTGGTGGAACTGCAAAATGACATATTCACACGCTGAATGAAGATATATTCTAACCCATCCTGCTTTAAATTAAATCAACATTGCTTATGCCTTTCTTTAGTTTTTCCAGTTACTTTATCTCTGACTAGTGATTATATAAAGTTACAGAATACAGCTATGTTATACTGATGAATACAATCCGGAGAGGATTCCCACTAATTTTCACTTATTCTGACAATAAACAAATTTATTTGGGTGTGATTTTTCATTGAACTGAGATTTAAGTCTGGGTAAATCTGAATAAGATTGTGGTTTTTAGCTTCAAATGTTTAAAATCATCTATTGAGCTCAGTGAAAAGTGTTTATTGATTCAATTTTACTTCCTGTGGGCAATAGAAAATATTTGGTCTTATATGTAATCAAATTGGCAAAAGAAGCAAAAATGTATGGATGAGTCTCTGGGGTATTCTCTTGTTCTCTGAGTTAGAAAACAGCCCTAAAGGCAGATGAACCAACCTGATTTGGTCACTGGCATAGAATGTGAAAAGACTCATCACATCTTTCTATCCCATAGTCAACCATGAGTCTAAGCAGACACAGTGCAGCATCATGGTCATCAACATCCTGGCAGAAGAACACACTTGAATGGAGGAAAGTTTAAATGTGGGAATTTAAATGTGGGAATT